CATCATCATCATCATCATCATCATCATCATCATCATCATCATCATCATCATCATCATCATCATCATCATCATCATCTCTGTTTTCCGAATGTTCTTTTAATTTTGATATCTATCTGAAAGACAATTAGTACTCGAAAAATTACATTTCTTTCGAAGTGCCTCAAGTTTTAAAACCATTCCCGAAAATACTATTAAATTCATCATATCGAGCTTAGGTGTTTAAATTATACTATTTATTACCCGCTACAGTAAATCAGGAAACATTTTATTCTCAACGTCATGGGATTTTTAGAATATTCGTCTATAAGTGAACTCTAAATTAAAATGGGGATCAGCGGAGATTGACGATTTGTATTAAAAAATGGTACTATATTTTAGTACTGTAAAATAATATTTTTATTTTATTTTGCGTTATGGAATACATGTCAAAGAACATATCTATGCAATTTTTTTAAAAAAGGGCTTACTTTTGAGGCGTAAAGATGGTGAGATACTCATATAATTTTTACGCTATTTTTAATCGGAGTTTCGAATAAGAATTATTCCCACTATTCATAATTCATTTTAGTATTCAACTACATCAAATGATTGAAATTTTATTTGAATAAAACTATTTCGAAACTGTTTTAAACTCCAAAACTATTTTAAAACTTCTATATATGATTGGGGATTTGATTTCTGGTTGAGCTGGTGCTTGCTTCGGAACTATATTGTCAACACCACTGAGCTTTTCTCGGATAGAACCAATGCGTGTAAAAATTCCAGACATCTTTTTTTTTTAATATTTTTATAAATTTATACGTCTAAATCAAAAAATTTATACGAGATTCAAAATATGGTCTCTATATAAAAAAGAAAAAGTTATTTTCGAAAAATAATTAATCAATAGCATTGATGATTATGGAATGAAGTACAATAATACATTAATCCTTAAGAAGCTTTCAAATCTTTCTATTTCATTTTGTAATTTATTTGAATCATTTAAAATACATTGAAGTGTAACATATTTACCATCCAAATCTATATAATTGTTTGGTTTCCTCGTCCGCATCATCATATTCTTCATCTCCATATTCAAAATATGTATATGGAAGTTTATCCTGAGCTTCATTATATTCATCTGTTAAATCTTTACGAATTTTTATAAGATTTTCATATATCCTAATACAGTTCACTCTCTCTATAACGAACCCTCTGTCCCTATATGTAATTTCTCTGCTTTTGGTCGTTATAGAGAGTGTTATTAAGATGGTCGTTATCTAGAGAGAAATTAATTATAAAAAATTGAAACGGAGACAAAAGTGAAGTTCGTTATAGAGAAATTTTACTTAGTGGTCGCTATAGAGAGAGTAGACTGTATATTCATCTAACCTATCAAGATTTAGATATCTTATAAAGCTATCCAATTTATTGATCCTTTTTAATCTTAACCACTCCATTATGTCATCCCTATCTATATATAATCGATGTCTTCCCTCTTTATACCATGTTTTGTTTACTAACATTACATTAGCAATTTTTATTGGATCTTTGATTTGCTTTATAATTTTACTAATTAGTTCTGGTGGTAATTTAAACACTGGAGCATTAAAATTCATACACTCAATCACTTCTCTGACCTCTACTAGATCTCCTGTTTTGAACGGGTCTTTGCTGTCATCTAGATAAGAAATTGCTTTAGCAATATAGTTAAAAGTTTGGGTAATATAAGATAACATTTTGTTTTATTTTTATATAGAATGTAGAAATCTTTAATTCAAAAATTTTATTAGCTGACAAAAAATTTTTCTTTCATCACATAATAAATTGTTATACTATTTGGCTTTATATGGCAAGCTTACTCAGTTCATAGATATTCATTACATTCATATCTATTCCTTTGCAAGCCCTTTTTTCATTGGAAAGCTGAGTAGTATAAAAACAGATTAAATCGATACATACAGGTCCATGTGGATGGATATACAGAAAAAAGGTATTGAAATCTATGAAATAAGCTTCTGGGAGACCTTGTAGCTATAATTGGATAAATTGGCACAGAAAATTCGAGTTTTGTCCCAGAACCCCCAATTTGCCACAACAGGTATGAGAATATTTACATCAATTTTATGATTCCTGGGCATACAAAATTTATTTGTGATGCAAATTTTGGACATATTAAAAGTAAATACAAAAACAGGCGCATAAATACTGTTGATGATGTTGCAAAAGCTATAAAAGATTCAGCAGAGTGTAATGGACCTATTAGATATAGCAATGGCTCAAATTGTGGTTGGTATAACTTTACTTTATTATTTGAAGGACATTTCCGAAGTCTGCCAAATATAACAAAATATCATCTTTTTCATTTCAGTAGTTTAACAAATGATATTGGAAAAGTTTATGTTTCAAAAAAATCAGGTGGCACTGAAATTCCTTTCAAACTTTTAAGGATGATAATTTTGATAAAAATAGTCAATTAGATGTACTTGAAATTGCTCCATTATCAGAAGATAGAAAAAGATATTTGTATAACAAAATTCATCAGCATGTAGACCCAGAATTTAGAAATATGCTTTGTCCTAATCCTAATTAGTTTTTATTATAATTGAAACTTGTCATTAAGATATTTTAAGTTCTATGCTAACAAAAATATAGTTTAGGAAAAATATGGTTGAGTAATCATTTATTTTGTTTTTTTGCCTTTTTTTTGTTAATTTTTTATTATAATTGTAATTCTATAAAAAAATAATTATTAAAAATATGATAGATTGGAGTTCATTGTCTTAATATCATTTCGAATATACAGGAGAGACCGTTCTGGTAACACAAATTTTAACCCATGCAATTGTTGATTGATTGACCAATTAAAATCATTAATTTAAAAATAAAACATTTAATGTGGGTTTGATTCATTTTGTCAACAATCACTTCACAAACAACTGTTTTGTTAACAAATGGTTCAAATTTAAGAAGTTTTCAACTTGGATGAAGAATAACTCTCTTCCTAACTCTTCTCTTGACCATATCTCTTGATATAATCAAAATAACCTTAATATAACAAAATTCAAAATGATTGTAAACTTGACCAATTTAAGATATACAATCAAGAGGAAACATGAACGATGTATGAAAAAAATCAAACAGTTGTTTCATTAACAAATGGTTCGAATTTAAGAAGTTGGAAGCAACCATTTGAAATAGTCTAATAAATTAAACTGTACTACTTGAAAATGTATTTAAAGGGTTGGTTTTCAACTTGGTTGAAGAATAACTCTCTTCCTAACTCTTCTCTTGACCATATCTCTCAACATAATCAAAATAACCCTAATATAACGAATGTTGAAATGATTGCAAATGCGACCAATTTAAGATATACGATCAAGACAAAACATGAACGATGTATGAAAAAATCAAACAAATTTATTTAATAAAACAAAATTTACAACTCAAAAAAATTTTTTTTTGCATATAATAAAATTCCATTATTAACTATTAACAATCTAATTATATAGATCTTGTCCGATCAAACCCGCCTATATAGTTATT